CCCCCCACGGAGGCTGTCAGTGGCAGCGGGATTGGGTTTGGCAAGCACCCACAGAAGCCACCAGTGGTGGGGACGGCCCTGTCGGGGGGGGACACATCCCGCCCCTCCCTACCAGTTGCCTGTGCACAAAGCCATTTGTTAATACAGGCATTCCATTCTCTTTCCAGTCAAAATAATCTGTCTGTATATAGATATATATAAATAAATCTTTGAAACTTGTGCAGGTATATTGCTAAAAAATGCAAAATCTATCATAACAATTTATCAACATTTATAATTTTGATTCTCTTCTGACCTTCCGAGCTTGTATTAGGTCTTTTAAAAAATATAAAACTGTTTTTCTTAAGTTTGGGTTACTTAAGAAAAATATAAAGCTGTTTTTCTTAAGTTTGGGTTACTTGAAGTACAGAGACACAGATGCACGTGTGCACACGTGCACGTGCCACACCCACCCACCCACCCACAAAACACTGACAGTGAGTTTCAAACCAAAAGAAAAATTTGATTGCAGGTTTGCTTTTCAGATTGCTGTGGTTTCATTTATGGTAGATGTTTCTCCAAATATTTTCACTGTTATGAGAAAACATAACTCTTAGGAGCTGGATTAGCCTGATTGTGTGGTGGCCCATAAAAAAAATCTTTCCAGTAAGAAAGAGAGAAACAATTTAAAGCAAGAAAAAAAACTAAACACTTTGTTTATAGAATAGAGCTAAGATGAGATGATTTACACAAGCAGCTGACGTCAATCTTGTACTTCTGGATTCTTGCCACTATGCAATGCATGTGCCAGCCCTGGACTTCATTCAGCCTAGCAAACTGATGTGGCGTGGAGCTCCTGTTACCCTGGAGATTTCCCTTACCTCACTCCAAACATGCTTTGTGCAGTGAAGTTTAAAATCGGGATTGTTAGAAGTAGGCAAGTAGGTACAGTTTCTGCAGAGTTTCTGTATGAGAAAATAATTTGCAATTCAGTGGCTTGTTTGTGTAGTTCTTAAAACTTTCCCTGTGACGTACCTACTGAACTCATTCAGACTTTCATTTAGACCTCCCAGGAGTTTGAACTACATATGTGGTTTTAAGCAGACTTATGCTACTTTCAATAGCCTGAAAATGATGTGTTGCTCCTATGGAAGACAGAAAACAAAGTGTAATTAAACTAAATGAATGGGAACATTTTGTTTTCATGTGTTAAATCAATGTAAAAATAATATAGCAACTAACTGTATATGTCTGCAGACGTGTGGCAGATTTAGCCCACAAGATAACATCCAGTTATTGACAGAGAGAGAGATTTTTTTTCTCAGAACACAGATATTTTAGAACCTTTCTGTGCAGAATAGGTACATCATCAGAAATAATGTGATGGATTCCTGTTGTTTAATTATAAACAGAGCTGTTAGTATTGTCCTTTCTTATGTTTTCATGACACTTTGTTTATAATGGTTTATAATTTTGTCAAACTTTATTCACTCAGTCTGAAATGTTTGATGTCAGGTGTCTGCATCAGCCTTTTTTGGAAAACTGAACATGGAATAGTTTGGCCATTTCTGAAGTGCTAGGGAGTTTTTGTTTTGTTTTGCCTTGCTTTGCCTACCTTTGTTTTTGGCCTATTTTAAAATATTCTGATAATCTTTATTTTGAAAATGTCGAGCTTTTCCACGCTTTGAAGCAGGGGCTTGAAATTTAGCTAGATTTCCTTTGTGTCCGGAACATTTTGTTTTGTTTTGTTTTTTCTTTTTACCATTCTCAGGTTTTGGAAAAAAATGCAGTTTGCATATGTTTAATGGTGAGTTTATCAGGTAACGTTTCCAAATATTCTGTCGTCTTTGAGCATGCTCAGTCATCTATGGCACCTCTTGTTGACCAGGCTGCAGAAACACAACCTGTACAAAGTGTTTGAGAATGCTGCAGTCTAGGACTACATAGGCAATATCAGCTGACCAGGATGGGGCTAGGAACCAGAACTGAGAATAGGAAGCTTGTCTTTAAAGATACTCCTGCCAATGATTAGGCAAGAATCCATCGGACTGAACTACAGAGAGGACCAAAGTCATAGTGGAAGAGGGAAAATAGTAAATTGGGAGTGAGGGACCAGTTAAGAAAGCAGGTGGCAGTGATTGGGGAACCGGAACCAGTGGCTGGGGATAAGGTAACAACGAGATTGAACAAGGAGTTGGGGAAGACTGAAATGAGCTGGACAAGAAGATTGGGCCTTGGAAACAGGCTTGGGGGAGAGGAAGAAGATCTGACGGAATTAGAGTGTGACAAGAGAACTGGGACTGAAGGCAGCAAGATACCAGTGAAGGAGGAAGATTCCGATTCGATGAGGGCTGTGGCAAGGAAGAGTAGGACTGGGAGAGAGGCAGTTGTAGGGAGGTGATGGATCAGATAAGGAACTGAGTAGGAACTAAAGCTGGCTGGGTAAGGAGATTGGACCTGAAGGAGGGTTGGGGAGGAGTTTAGGACTCTTAACAGCCAGTCTGGAGGGGGAGACAATAGGCTGTTCCTCCACTCCATACTACTACTGTTATTTCCCCACTACCTCAAATAGCAGGTGTCTTGAAGGCCCCTGGCAGATGTTACACTTAAGATTAATCAGTTAAGTAGTAACCCATCCACATGCTAATACAATTAATGGTGTGATAAAACAAGGAATAAGCCA